CTCTTAATCAAAGTCTTAGGCTACGGTCTTACTAATTTTTATAGATCCGTAATTTAGTGGTTTGGTTCTGGAAGGCTTGAGTACGTTGCAGGATGCACTACTGCTGGCTTGTCACAGCTGAGGCTAGCCTTGGCTACACGCAGTCTATCAGGTTGCTCTTAGTTAATGTTCCCTAAATAAATCAAATCACAGCAACCACCCTTTCTTTAAGTAAAAGCTAGTAAATGTCCAAATAGAGGGCGAGCACACATCCCAGTGTACTGCAGTTGGAACTGTCCATGAGCAGGTGGCCATACAGGTGCCTCATGGTGCTTGGACACAAGGTGTCATCTCTGAAGTAAGGACTGACTGAAATGCAAGGACTCTGGGAAATGGGCTTGCTGACAAAATGCCCTGTGGTGTTTCTGCATTATCCTACGAAAGAGGTAGACCTCAGGGTAGAAGTGCAGAAACTTGTAAGGAACAAAATAATTCCATCAATGAGTTCATCTGTCCCACACTAGGTGATGATCCTATCTGATTTTGTAGATGACATTTGACTTAGGCATTTAAACAAAAAATAAAAATCTTAAAATGTAGAATCATGAAATCACAGAATATCTCTTGAGTTGGAAGGGGCCAGTAAGGATCATCGAGTCCAACTCCCTGCTCCTTGCAGCACTACCTAAAACTAAACCATATTATAAATGCATCATCCAGGTGCTCCTTGAACTCTGGCTTGGAGCCGTGACCACTTCCCTGGGGACCCTGTTCCAGTGACCGATCACCCTCTAACTGAAGAACCTTTTTCCCATGTCTAATTTGAACTTTCCGTGATGCAGCTTCATTTCACCCTATTGCTGGTCACTAGAGAGAGGAGATCACCTCCCCCTCTGCAGCCCACCTTGAGGAAGTTGTAGACTGGAATGAGGTGACCCCTCAGCATTCTCTCCTAATCTGAACAAACCAAGTGACCTCTGCCGCACCTCGTAAGTCTTGCCCTCGCTGCTGCCTCTTTGCTGAGGGCAAGCACACTCTAATAGGTTGATGTCCTTGTAGTGAGGCACCCAGAAGTGCAAACAGTACTGGAGATGAGGCTAGTGCAGCATAGAGTGGGACAGTTGCCTCCCTCTGCCAGCTGGCTGTGCTGTGCTTGCTCCCCAGGACACAGTTGGCCCTGTCAGCTATCGGGGCTCGTTCAACTTTCAACCCAAACCCCCAGATCTCTTTCTACAGGGCTGCTCTCCAGCCTCTCATCCCCCAGTTTGTATGTATAACCAGAATTACCCCGTACCAAGTGGAGAATCCAGCTCTTGCTAAGTGATTGCGCAGCTCTCTAGCCTCTCCAGATCTCTGTAAGGCCTCTCTACCATATTCACAGCTTAGAGGATTTTTTAAAAATACTTCTAGGTGTATATGATAACGAGACAGATAATACTATAGCAATAAAACTAAATACGTATTGGGTTTGTGTGTTTTGGTTTTTAAGCTGTTCTGTTTTCTCATTATCTGTGCTTATTTGAAGGGAATGCAATGGCAGGAGTCCTTGTTGTGGAGAGTACATGAAGGATTTTACTTTCTTTTCCTCTGTTAATAACTCTGAAGAAGAATGTGGGATAAAATAAAAAAAATTAACAATAAAGAATTGCAAAGATCAGATATTCAGTGTTCTAAAAATCTAGCAGCTGTGATTTATTATCTGTCCTTAAAACTGCTCTAATACTAAAAGACAGGAAGATGTAGAAACTTATCACACTTACCAAGTGGATTTCACTGAAGAAGTGCTGGTATGATCAGATGTACCCAGATGATCATTACCACAATCACTAGATACTCATTGTGTGCACACTAGTATTTTAATTAAAAAAAAAGGTATTTGCTAATTGTAAGAGTCCTGTCTCTCAATCTATTAAAAACTGTTTGAAGAAGTTAATAAGCACCTGAGAAGAACAGCAATCTACTTGTATTTTCAAAATAGCTCTGATTGTATGATAAAAAGGTCTTAACATGGAAAAGGAGGAACATGCATTCTGAAAGGAGGTGCTTCAATTATCCCATAAACTCTTAAAAGATAGGAGATTCCAGACTCTGAATTGTGACATGGAGATCTCTTGCAGTGGGAAGTAGAAGTACTGTAGACATTGCTGTACATCTTGCTCAGACTCTTAAGTAACATCATTTTTAGGGAATAGCTTACCTAATTAGGGTGTAGCATGTTCCCCTCTGTAGGGAGAGAAGGGATGCCTGAACACTTACAGTGACTGTCAGTGGAAGTCCCAGTGTGACTTTTTTGTTGTTACCAGAACTTGTTTTGTAAATTTTGACATTTGAAGGGATGAAACTTTTGACTTAAGAAGAAATCTTGACTATTGGGTCTTGTAAGGAAATTTAGGAAACTAATTACTGTGTTTTACGAAATGGGGGGTGGGGGGCGGAAGGAAGGAAGGGGGGGACAGTGAAGTGCTAAGCATTGCTAATTGCAGCTCTTTGAGTATTCTTTTGATATTTAAAAGAAGAGGTTAAGTGTATAGAAAAGGTAGGATAAAATTCTCAAAGAAGAATAGGTAATATAGGTATAAAATAGGTAATACAGCTCAAAAGAAGATGTAATAGAATAATCTTCAAGGTGAATATTTTATATGCTAGTTTAAAAACCAAAGCATGCCCTTGTCATTTGGATTGACCAGAGGTTTTGAAAAACGTAATGAAAAATTCAGTGCTGAAACTAGTTTGAGCTATTGCTGTTTTGACAATTTATTATATGACAGCAGGGAAACAAATATTATGGGGGTCCTTCTCAGGCACTCACTGGTGGAATAGTTCAAGTGGTGAAAGTTTTGACCCCACCAGAGGCTGCTCAAACCATACCATGGGAGCACAGTAGAGCATGGCTGCTTGTACTCCTAGTTTTGCAAGAGAATATAAGGGTGCTCTAAATCTTATTCTGTCAACAGTGATGATTTTTGTTTGCTATTGTGCTTCAGAGTTACCGTAACTGCTGGGTTTGGGTGGTGATTGGTTGTATTTGCAACCATTTCTTGAGTGTGGTAAATTTAAAACTGCCCTCTAAAACGTGTAAGTAAAGCAGCTTTTTAGGGAGCGGTATTATACTTCGCATGAAATCAGCTGAAGTCATGCTTTAATTTAGTAACAGTAGGCTGTTATACCTACTGCATTCAGAATTCTTTTGTGGAGAAAATGGTGAATTTAGGTCATGAGTCTACAAGAATTTACCTGAAATACTAATAGGAAATTAAGAAAACCAGCACTTTTAATAGAAAGATGAACAGGATGATTAATAAAAGACTGTCTTTATTCCATGTGGAGCTCATAAACAACTTCCTCCTTCAGATGTAAAGGTATTTGATTGTGTAACCCTGTGGCTCCCAGTGTTCCAAAACTGCAGCTAAGTCCTGAAAGACTTTGTGGCGAGGGGAGCTGATTTCTTCTCTCAATACCCCTTGGCCACTGTTACATTTGAAGTCATAACTACAGATATGCATAAGTTCTTGCTTCCTCAAAGATTGTGGTGAAGTCTCATCTTTATACTGCTCTTTCTTCATCTACCCCATCCCTATTCCAAGGAGAATTTAAAAAAGAAAAAACAAGTTCTAGATACATTGAGGAAATCTGATCAATTCCAGTACAGAAATTGGAAAATAGAAATTGGAAAAAATATTATGTGAGGAATAGGGGGAATGATGTGGTGTGTGGTGGCCTTTTTTTTTTTTTTTTAAAAATGTCCCAGATCTTTTTCTAGTGCTCTCTGGTTAAGGAGAAAATTTCCGTCTCTTCTGATCAGCCCCTTTATAAGTTAGAGCAGGTTCTAGTAAACAACTTCAAATATATTGCTCCCTGAATGACAAGGTTGGTGTTCTGCACCTGAGTTTGATCCTCCCTTGGCTGCTCTATGCTGCTTTGCTTGAACTTTTTTATCATTAGAAGGAAGCCAATTCAGTCTGACTTTCTTCATACAGGTAACTTCATAATTGAGCCTAGAGATACCTGTGTACAGGTAACTTCTAGATATGACCAAAACTGGCATATTTTAATGTTTCATTCCAGGGAGGAGTATCTTTCAAGCTATGCTAATCACTCTTGAAGTTTATCATGATGCTGATAGGTAAGGATAATTTCTTGACCTATTAGCTATTAAAGTGCCAAAAGAAGTCTTGCAGCCTGAGAAATACTTCAGTAGTAAAATTTGCACTATATATTGTAAAAACAAATGTGTAGGGACCAGGTATTTTTCTCTTATTAAAATCTCATCAGATGAAAGCTGTTTGCTTGGTAATTGCCATACTTGATACTGCCTCTTGTGTAGAAGCTGGGAAGGAGCCCTGGTTTGGCCTGCTTTAATTGAGTGGCTTGAGTTGTGGTAAGCTGAGTGGTATTTTTTGCTCTGATTTGATTTGTTACTGCTTAATAGTATGTGGCTGCATTTAAGTCTGATTGAGGGTGGCTTAATTTTATTTTTAAATAAAGTTATGCTTTCGGAAGCTTTGTGGTTAACTTGGGTATCAAATACTTCATGGCCTTTGCTGGAAAGGGTACAAATGCATGTTGATATATTTGGAAAACAGTTACATGCACAAGTGTCTCCATAGAAACTGAAGTAAAATGCTATAATTACTTTATATGGGCTACTGCATTTCTGTTAAGGCAGTTAGGTTTTTAGAGCTGACTGGGTTCAGCCCTGGTGGTGAAAGGCACAATCACACTATTAAACCTTTAAACATTCTAGTTGCTTGAGAGGGGAGGAAATCGGAGTTCAGCATTTTCTCTGTGCGTGCGTGTGTGCGCGCATGCGTGCTGACGAGACAGAGTGAAAGCTGTGCAGACTGTTCAGCTGGGGCAGTCGGGGAAGTGACGTCCTGTGTTTTTTGTCGTTCTAGAAAGAGCGGAGAGACGTACTGTAGGTGGGAGGACTCTAAAGAGAGGGCTGTGTCTTGTCCAGTGTGTATAATTATTTATAAATGAGCAACGGAGGGAGGAAGGAAACACGGAGAAACTGTCTAGGGTTTCTTTAATATATCAGAGAGTTTGTTGATTTGTAACAGTTCTGTTTGTTTCAATTCCAAGTTTATTTTTATTTTTTCTTCTCTAGCATCTCTGCATTCCTGAGACACTGGACACAGTTTTCTTTAAAGCGAGGAAAATCTGAATTCCTCTGACATTCAGGATGGGGAAAGATTATTATTCTATCCTGGGAATTGAAAAAGGGGCTTCTGATGAAGATATCAAAAAGGCTTACAGGAAACAAGCGCTTAAATGGCATCCAGATAAGAACAAATCTCCCCATGCAGAAGAAAAATTCAAAGAGATTGCAGAAGCTTATGAAGTGCTGAGTGATCCCAAAAAGAGGGACATTTATGATCAGTTTGGGGAGGAAGGTATGTATGTCTCTGTTACATTCTTATCAGTCACTTTCATTATGTTGAGTGGAGCAAAATAAACATAGACAATGCATGGAAACATGGTATATGTTCATTTTTAGGCAATGTATTTGTACTGCTTGGAAGTTTGACTCACTAGCTTTTGTAATGTAAAATGTATTGTAGAGTTTTAATGCTGAAGTAGTTTTAATTTCTTATTTTAATGTGATTTTATGTTTATATGGTTTTAAAAATCCCAAATCCTTGACAGGCAAAAACTTACTCAATTGAAAAAGTTTGATCATAAATAGCTTTCTGTGATTTCATATTGCTGTCTTCCCTTGCACTTTCTGAGGTGTAGTTGAAGAGATGTATTCTTTTTTAAATTTTTAGTAAAGGGCAGTCTGCTTGATCTAGGCAGAACAGCCCTTACGAGCAGAAGCCCAGGTGTCCAGTCTGTAGTTGTCCTTGGCTTCTTGCCTGGAGAGGAAAGAATTTGACTGATGTCATGAAATACCAGAACAATTTTTTAGCTTTAATTGTAAACAGTGATAACATGCCAAGAGAATGAGGCCTCAGAAATGTCATATTTAACCTAAAATGGTTATCTGGAGAAGATTACATTTTTTTAAAATTTTTGACCAATGTGACTTAGCCTTAAGATTGAGCAATAGAGGAAGTCATTAGCATCCCTCCCCTTTAATGTGTGGTATCAGAAATTCCACATGAAATTATTTCCGTTGTGACAAGTAGGTCTGTTCACTCAGGGCCATGTTTTTTACTAACATGAAGGAGGACACTTTAATAGTAGTACCTAGGGGAAAATTTTGGGTTCTTAGGAATGCACAATAAAATTTTGTCCTCTGTTATGTGTAGCATTTCCTCCAATTGTTAACTTGCATAAATTCGTGTAGAAGACCTTCAGCTTCTACAGAGGATAAAGTTTTTTTGGTCTTTTGTTCCACTGCATGTGTTCAAATCCTTAATGCTGTTATGAAACATTCTAGGGAAAAAGTGTTTATGTAGATACCAGAGACCTTTGCTTCCCCTTGGGTCTTTTTGCCTGCTTGCACTTCTTCCATCTCACCCTCTGCCTTCTTTCTGTGTACCATTATAAACCTATTTACTCTGTGGTTTCATCTGCGCTTTAGATTCCTGTGCAGCAGCTCTTTCTACTCCTTTCCCAAAATACCATTTTCATCATTTTCACCAAAGAGCTTGAAGTAAAGCATGTAAAGCAATGCAGCCTTTAGCATCCAAATATGAAGACGGGTTCACAGAGAGGGTGGTGAAGCACTGAGACAGGTTGCCCAGAGAAGCTGTGGATGCCCCATCCCTGGAAGTGTTCAAGGCCAGGCTGGATGAGGCTTGGAGCAACCTGCTCTAGTGGAAGGTGTCCCTGCCCATGGCAGGGGGGTTGGAACTGGATGGTCTTTAAGGTCCCTTCCAACCCAAACCATTCTATGAAGACACAGATTTCTATTTATTTGGGGCATAATATTAAACCAAAGTATGAATTTTTAGAATGGTGAATATGGAAATACCTGCTTATGACTCAGTTGCTCTCTAAGCTCTTCAGTTGCATCTGAAAGTATAACTAGTGAGGGAAAGGCAGGGGGTGGGGTGGAAGGAAGGAGGAAACCTCAGTGTTTTTACAGCCAGGAACTTGATGTACCTACAGTAGCAACTTTTGGCTAGCTATTCCAGGAAGTGACCTTCTACTACACAAATTCAGTCTACTGCTCTTCCTGTTTTGACATTAATGGTACTGTGACAGAAGGAGGTACTACATGTTGCTAAGTACTTCTGTTACGCTCTGGTACTGAGATGGGGAAAGGATCCTCATTCTAATGCCTTGCTGGTTAATGCTGATAACCATCTTATGCATAGAAGGTCTAAATCACTGAGGGGGAAAAAAAACCCCACCCCAACACCTTTCAAGTTTAGGCAATATGTGCTTCATTAATGTAAGCCTTTGCATTTTTATGGCTAAGGAAATATGATAGCAGCTGTAGTGCTGACCTGCTGCAAGATTGGGGGGGAAAAAAAAAAAAATCATGCAAGTTTAGAAATTAGTCTCTTAAGGAGATGTTTAGCCTTTCATCTTAAAGGTTTGAGAAGGCATGCTGAAATGGTCAGTGCAGGAGGTCACTATTACGAGGAAGTACTTAATGATCACCTATTGGAAAAGAGGCATTTAAGAAAAGTGATTTTTAGGTGGCTTTGGAATGATAGAGCAGTAAGTACAAGGAACTGTTCAGTGAGAATTGTAAGGGAAATCTTACCAGGAAATGAGTTGTAGATCCATCCTTGTGGAAGATAGAACAAAAAGAATGTTCTGATTTTTTTTGCACAGAGATGGTGACTGTATATACAAGGTTTTCGTACCCAAATAGGTCTTAGGAACTTCCAAGCTATTTTTATTTGTAGCGGATGGCTTGAAAAGAGGTCCCAGGTTTCTTGGCTGTTTTATGTCATAGGAACACAAGTTGGGATGAGTTTGGGATTGTATGTTAATTCCTTAATTGAATATTAAGGAAGCATATGGCTGCTTGGCTATTGGGATATTACCTTTTACTCAGACTGAATTGGAGGAAAGCAGAGGTAAGGGTAATTGACACTGGGTTGAAGCTGAGCTATGGAGACTATGGCAAATGTTGCATATGATACCACATAATTTTCCCCAGAAGAGATCTTGAAGAGGGATGCAATTACCAACAGGTTTTGCAGAACAAGAAAAGATCAAGTCAAGCAGACCTGTCTTCTGGTTTCAGATGTTAATTCTTTGAATAACTGGCTTGAATCATATGAAATAAAATTGGCAGTGTCAGAATACTGGTTCTTCTGAAGCAGAAGTCCTTCTAGAGCTTCAGAAACTTTGTTGCTGTTCAAACTATTGAATTAGTAGTTGGTACTGCATAGTCTGCTGGTGAGTCCTTTCACTCTACTCCAAAGACTTTGTCAACTCATCAGTTCCAATAACATTACACTCTACAATTGGAAAGCTTACACTAATATTCCATTTGTTTTTAACTTTGATTATTTGTCTTACTTAGGTCTGAAAGGAGGAGCTGGAGGACCTGATGGACAGGGTGGTACATTCCGGTACTCCTTCCATGGTGACCCACATGCTACATTTGCAGCTTTCTTTGGTGGCACAAATCCCTTTGAGATCTTCTTTGGAAGGAGGATGCCTGGAGGCAGAGACACTGAAGACATGGAGGTGGATGGTGATCCATTTGGATCCTTCACTAGTTTTAGTATGAATGGGTTTCCAAGGGAAAGGAATACAGTTGGTAGCCAGTTACGTCGTAAACAAGATCCCCCTGTAATCCATGAACTTAAAGTGTCATTGGAAGAGATCTATCATGGCTGCACAAAAAGGATGAGGATTTCACGTAAAAGGCTTAACCCAGATGGTAGAAGTGTCCGAACAGAGGACAAAATTCTTACTATTGAGATAAAAAGAGGATGGAAAGAAGGCACCAAGATCACTTTTCCAAAAGAAGGTGATGAAACACCCAACACAATTCCAGCTGATATTGTTTTTATCATTAAAGATAAACCTCACTCTCACTTCAAGAGAGATGGATCAAATATTATCTATCCTGTTAAGATCAGCTTGAGGGAGGTAAGTTTCTCCTTTGGTAGAACTCTAAATGTTTAAACCTGTTACAGTATGATACAGTGGCTACTCTGCACAAACTGGCAGCAGTAAAGTGTTTTGGTTTGGTTTTTTTTTAAATAGAGTTTCACTCTTGTAAAGTCAAAGTGTGGACTATAGTGGAAGCATTAGCTGTTTTGATATAAGTGAAGTAATATTTCAAGCTGTTCACTATACAGGTGGAAGTGAGTGAAGGTGGAAGTGTAAGAGTAAAGGTTGATATGTCTTAAATTTTCATATGTTACTTTTCTAGCTAAATACATATTAGGTTGAAGTAGCAAACATGAATACAATAAACAAATACATCCAATATAGTATGCACTGTACTGCTGCGATATGATTGCTACTTCTGTAGGACAAAGTAGAGGTGTCTTAAATATTTTAAACTGGCAACAAATTCTGTCTGCCTTTTTATGTCATATGTTATCTGTGGGATTTCAAAGTACATAGAGATAGATTTCATGAGGATAAATTATTGTGAACAGGTGTTATGGGAGCTATATATAACAACAAAAATGGTATAGCTTTTTAAAATTCCATTCCAAGTCAAAACATATTGCCTTTCAAACGGAAGAATCCGAAAACAGAGCACAGTTCTTAAGGGCCTGAAGTCTTGGCATGGTCATAATTTAAAAGATAATGTAGTTGAGTGTGTGTGTTGTTTTATCTTCTTAATTAGCATTAGGTAGAGAAATAAACTCTTGCCTGCATTAGAAGCTCTTTGTGTACACTATGAGCTCCTTCCTTAAAGGATTGTTAACTAAAAATGTATCTGAAATGAGGCAAAGCACCTAAAATAGGATGAGGGAGGAAAAAAAGAATATTTAATGTTGATGTAGGTAACAGAATTCCTTCATAGATGAAAGCTCATTTAAGTTCATTGCATTGTTATTTAAATTGGACATGATCAATATAGGGTATGTGTGCTGAATCAGGTGAAGCTGGAGAAATCAAAATGTCACTATCAGGGATCCTAGTAATGAAAAGAAACCATTGGATAAAGCATTGTGATGTTTTAATTTTGGTGTACCAAAATAGTTGTTTGCTTTTCTTTGAGAATTCCAAATGCTTAACAAAGGTGGCTGTGAAATCTGATAGGCCTCTGCTTATGGACACTTAAATGTTGTTCAGTGATTTGATACACTGTAAGTTGATGGTGTGTTGGACTAAACCCCTGTGCAATGTAAACAAACAAAAAAATGGAACGGGTCTCTTTCCAATGGAAACTGAGAAGCTAAACATCTCTAGAGATGTAAGAGTGGAGAGTTCACTCTGTGCTCAACTACCTTGTTATTTGATAAAGTTTTTGAAGGGTATATAAGCTCAGTTACCCTCTAGTGGGCATTGTACAAGGTGGGAAAATTCAAGTTGAAGCCTTTCCTTTTTAAGAGAGGAACACTGTGTGAATTTTGGCATCTCAGTAGTGCACAGTGGAAATACTGTTCAGGATGCCATTTTTTTCTCAATAATCCAAATTCAGTTTTAGGTACAAATAAAGTTCTGACGGATTTCTTTTTCTCATGATACAATTTTTCTTTAGGCTTTGTGTGGCAGCTCTATCAATGTGCCAACGATAGAAGGAAGAACCATACCCATGACAGTCAATGAAGTGGTAAAGCCTGGGATGAGAAGAAGAATTATAGGATATGGCTTGCCGTTTCCCAAAAATCCTGACCAACGTGGAGACTTAATTATAGAGTTTGAAGTAATTTTCCCAGATAACATTTCTCCAGCATCAAAAGAAGTACTTAGGCGAAATCTTCCAGTTTCATAAAACGAAGACTGTGTATGTCAACTGTTTAAATAGGACACTGGAAATGCAGAAGACTGGCAAGTCTGTGCTTTAAAAGTGCAATCTGTAACAACTAGTGGAATATTTGTTTTTTTGTTTTGTGGGATGGGTGGGTGGGAAATACTGTAATGCTGCATGAGGAGGAAAGAGTTTAGTACAAGTCATACAGGTGACTTCTGCAGTAAAATTTATAGGGAAAACCACTCATTTTATTTTACATCTTTCTAATCAGAAAAGTTTATTCATTATTTTGCCTAATGTAAAATGTAGTCGGTTTTTACAAAGTCAGTGCATATTTCTGATACATTACTTCAGCCTCCACATACTTTATTTCTTATATCCCTACCATATCTATAGCATTACCCATTTATACAGAAGTTGAAGATGGTAGTAATACACAAATGTATAAATATGTCAAAGAGCAAAACATGAGAGATACCATTTTGGTATGTTACTTTCCACTGCACAAAGCATAGTCTGGGAAAATCAGCTTGGGCTCCTGAACTGCTTCTCAGTGGAGTGAAAGCATTTTCTTTATTGCCCCAGAATGTGAGGACTGCATTATGAGTCTGTCAAAGGGCACTCTGCTTGAGGAGCAGGAGAACTATCCCGTTTGCAGTTGGATAGTTCCTCAGCCTTTAGACTGAACAGTAAGAAAGTTCTTACCGTTTCGATTCTACAAGTACATAAACAGGAAGTGGTGGGCCTGCTGTCAAATGTGCAGGGAAACTGGTGACAAATGACATGGAGAAGGCTCTGAAGTACTCATTGCTGCCTTTGCATCAGTGTCTACCAGTAAAACAAGCCTTCAGGAGTTCCAGGCCCCTGAGACCGCAGGGGAAGTCTAGAACCTCAGTGGTGGAGGACCAGATGAGGGTGCACTTAAACTGTAAGTCTGTGAGCCTGACAGGTTGCACGTCTATTGCTGAACGTGCTGGCTAATGCCATTGCAAGGCCGCTCTTCATTATCTTTGAATGGTTGTGGAGAGTGGGAGATGTTCTGGTAGACTGGAAGAGAGCAAGAATCACTCCTATCTTTAAGAAAAACAAGAAGGAAGATTTGGGTAGCTACAAGACAGCCAGCCTCACCTCCATTCTTGGGGAGGCGATGGAGAAAATCCTCCTGCAAAGCCTTACCGTACACATGAAGGACAAGAAGGTGATCAGGATCAGTCAGCATAGGTTTACAAAGGAGAAATCATGCTGGACCAACCTCATTGCCTTTTACAGGGAGGTGACTAGCTTTGTGAGTGACGGGAGAACAGGTAGTCTCGCTTACCTTGGCTTTAATAGACAGACTGACAAAGTACAGGTTTGATAAGTGAAAAGTGAAGTGGGTTAAAAACTGGCCAAGTGAGTCAGCACTGGGGGTTTACGATCGGTGATATAAAGTCCGGTTGGAGGCAAGTCAGTAGTGGTGTACCGTAGGGCTTAATACAGGGGCCAATACTAGTCAACATCTTTATTAATGACCTGGATTATGGGTTGGAGTGCATCCTCAGCAAGTTTGCAAGTCATATAAAACAGGGAAGAGTGGCTGGTAACACCAGGTGATGGTACCACCTTTCAAAGGGACCTCAGTGGGCTGGAGAACTGGAAAGAGGAGTCTCAACAAGGGGAGTTGCAGAGTCTTACTCCCTGAGGAACAACCCAAGGCACTAGTACACCCTGGGAGCTGAAGGCCTGGAAAGGAGCTTTGCTGAGAAAGACCTTGGGTTCCTGGTGGATGACAAACTGACAATGAGCCAGCAGTGACAACTTTGTTGCCTTGTGGCAACAAAGGCCAAAGCTTTGCTCGCAGGCTGAGGGAGATGATCCTTCCTCTCTACTCTCAGCACTGATGAGGATGCATCTGGAGTACTGTGTCCACTTCTGGGCTCCCCAGTACAAGTAAGATAAAACTCACTGGAGTGGGTCTAGCACAGCACCATGTATGAGAAGCTGAGGAAGCTGGAGCTCCTCAGCCCAGGCAAGGAAAGGCTTTGGGTGGATCTTAGCACTGTGTATGAATACCTGATGGAAGAGAATAAAGAGGGGAGGGAGCTTGGCTCTTCTCCGTAGCTCTTATTTACAGGGCTAAAAAGCAGTGGACACAAGCTAAAACACAGGGGATTCTATCTGAACACCAGAAGACACCTTTTTAGTGTGATGATGGTCAAACATTGAAGCAGGTTGCCTGGAGAGGTTGAGGACTGTACCATCCCTGGAGATACTGAAAACTTGACTGGACATGATCCTGGGCAGCCTATTTTAGCTGACCGTGCTTGAGCAGGGGTGTTGGACTACACGATCCCGGGTTGCCTTCCAACCTAAGGGATTCTGCAAACTTGGATTTCACACTTGTCAATAGACAGTGCTATAAGCCATGCTCTGCACATGAGGCTTAGCCCAGAGATGGGTGGTACTGAGGTGACAGCGTGAATCCCTAGGGAGTAGGTCTGTGCTTGAGTGGAAAGATGCACAAAGAACACTGTAAAAGCATTTGACTAGTACAGGTATTGAAAGATCATGCTGATCTCAAGTATTCATTATTTTCAAAGGCTGAACTTTACTCCCACAAAGAGGAAGGAAAAGGCCAGGTCCTAGCTAAAGGAAAATTTGCTTAAGACACAAAGTGGGATAGGGGTTGTCCATAAGCATTTCATAGGCTTGAATTGAATCTTTTTTGAATACAAATGAGAGTTACTTGTCTTTAGTTAAAGGTGCACAGGAAAATGGAGAGCCCTCTGTAATAGTCTAGTTTTATAATACAGTATTAGGGCTGGTTCCCTTGATTGCGGCATGATTTTGGTGAAAGAAATGCCTTGCAGGCGTGCTTTATTACTTGAGTGTAAAACCATAATATAGTGCTTTAACAATATTTTCAAAGGTTTTTTTCTTCATAAGAAAATGTGTAAGATTTGCTGTCAGCCTTTTGCCTGTGGAAATTTAGTAGTTACCTGCTCTGTTGGGTAGCTTAAGAAATAGCAGTGTTATCTTCATGTATGTGATTTCCTGTGGGAAAGTAAAGCATATGGAAGTTGGGATTTAATTTACAATAACTTTTTAATAAGCACAAGAAGAATCCCATTTCTTTTACTCAAAGGAATAGAACTTCTGGGAGATACTGTTCGAGTCAGTTTTTCAACTGCAGATCTCTTCATACAGTGTCAGTTAGTTGTAGTCCTAAATCCACAAGGAACTAAGCAATTGCTGGAGCAGTATCACAAAGGGGAAAAAATTGCTGCTTAGTGCTTATGCGTATTGTTAACACTATATATTGTTTGGTCAAAAAAATCCCATTTCAGTATTTTCTGTATTGCATTTATGTGGCTTTTAAGTAAAAATGTAAAGTTGGGTTTTAACTTTATCTTTTTGTTATGACGGCAGATGCTATAAGCTACATGACTTTAAAAGCGTATCATCCTAAAATACCTGTTTGTCAGTTTAAAAGCTAATGGAATCGAGCATTTTGTAATCCAGGATCTTGTAACTATAGTCCAACTTGTAAAAAAACCAAAAAAAGTTACAGCAACTAGGACTACTTTTTGTAACCATCTTCAGGTAAGAGGAGTAGTGTTAAGTTGAGGAATTGCAGTATCTTGTGTATTTAGAGGTATATATATGTATAGAAAACTAAACTTTTTCAACTGTTTTCATGCTCAAAATACAGAAGTATAGGACTGGTATGAAATGCTTGTTTTTCTTTTCTTATGGACAGGTACCAGTATATGTTTCAGAAAACAGCATGTGGAATTACTTCAAAATATGAGAGGCAGCATTAATATTTTTCTAATCAAAATATGCTTAAGAGCTATGTTTTAAATAACACTTGATTATTTAATAAAGGCTACTTGGGAGAAGGAGGCAAGTACTCAGTCACCTACTATATCTCAAACTACTGAAATACATGGAAATAAAATGGACTTTCATGAGGTTGCGATGAGAAGGTTATTTTGGTCTCCTGAAGGTTGCTTAGGTTCCATAGAAAGTAAATGACACCTGGTTACTTTGGAGGAGTTCATTCAACAAGTGTATGAAATCCTGTACTTCCAAAGAACATTTTTTTTTAATCTCCCAACATCAAGCTTTAGGATAACCTCAAGCTGTTGGAAGAGTAGGGCAAGCTGCATTACAATGGGTTCCTTTGCTGAAAACCTGTGGAAGCCTATTTCTGGTGCATTGGAGAGTTGCTGTGGGTTTGGGTTGGTTTTGAGTCTGACCTGTTCACTTTAGTATTCACCCCTATTTTCAATGTGACCTTCAGTCCAGACCTCAAACAGTGCTGAAGATGAGCAATATGTATTATGATCAGTCAAATGAGATTATCAGTGTTCTGATTCTCAGATGTGGTGTAGTATTTTTAGTAAATGCTCAAAACGGTCTCCATATCTGATTCTCAAAAGTCCAGGCATAGGGAGCACCCATCGATGCATAGTGCGGTAAGTGAATCAAGCTCTCAGACTGGTTGTACCTTCAGTGCTGCAGAGCCAAAGTATGAGTGAAGGTCTGTAGCTGGCTTGGTTTTAAAGAGCTGTACACATGTACCTACCAGTGTGCCATGAAATTCTCGACCTTGCATAGTTTTGCTTAGAGAGTGGAGGAGACAATTGTCTTGACCGGATAATCTGCTATTAGTTGTGGATATTTTTTTTTTTTTTTTGGAGGGCCCATTCCAAAATAAATCAGCAGCATGGAAAGTATTTGGCCAAGAATCGGCTCCACTTGGTAAGTGCCACTAGCCCTAAGCTTGCATAAAGTAAGTTTCACATACTAATGAGTCATCCTTTATGTTAACTCTTTTTTAACATACTGGGTGCAACTGGCTGGCATTTAGTTTCTGTTGGGTCATGAAAACAATAGTGGTTTCCAGACCTTATTTTCCTTGACCTTTACTTATGGCTGTATGATCTTCAACACATGTGCTTTTTTTTTTTTAAATTCTTAGCCTATAACCTTTGAGTCTTTCAAAACATTCTAGTCTTAGACAACTCCCCAGAATCTTTAAGCCCCTAAGATGCTTTTGCCACTCCCCAATGATTTGTTCTCACTAATATGCTGATGCAGTCTTAAAATGTGCTTCTAGGAACTGTGTATCCAGGGTGCTACTGAGCTAAAGGAGGTAAGTCTGTGGCCTTTGTAAGGGCTTTGTTCTTG